GAGCCCTCTCCGGGGAGGAGCTGGATCTGGCCACCGGGGGGAGTTCTGCAGCTGAGGGGGTGTGGACGATCTCTCCGATATCACATGTTTTGTCTACTCACGGGAAAGAAGGACCTCCTCAGGCACTGCAGCCTTTCCTTCCCAGCCTGCTGACTCCCAAGATTTCTGGATGCAGTGCCCTCACGTGTCAGCACTGCTTCACAAACAACCATCACTGCTGCTTTTCCAGAATGAAAGCCAACACACTCAGGAAGCATAACACGGCGGTGCACAGACACTGCCCGGCAACACTGAGCAGCAACTGCACTTCTGTCTCCTGGTACACTTTGCAGGACATGCACCAAGTGGCACCTGACCTCCACGTGCTCCTCTGGTTGGGCCACAGTCTGCCCCCTGTGACCAGAGACTGTGCTGTCCAAGAAGGCCTTCTCGTGCCATTGCTGGATCATAAAGCCCTGCACGGGGATCCAGCCCGGCAGCGCGGACGCCTGCCAGTTTCTTGACTGAGTTGGGGATGTCAGAACCAGGCTGCTGGACCAGATCAAGGTCCCATCCAGCCCCACATTCTGCTTTCCAGGCACAGGCCCTCTGCTCAGCTCCGTGACTCAGCCTGGAGGCAACGGCTTCACCTTCGTCATGACCACATGAGAAAGACGCACCACAGGGCTGGTTTCTCATCAGCCACGTACTCAAAGGGCTTATTAGTCTGGCATGCAGGATGCGAACAGGTTTCTGGCCATAGCCAAGAAGCAGGAGTGGCTGATGTGCTCCAGTCTGGAGGCGGGGAGAGTCAAAAGCAAAGCCCCTTGCCAAGGAACCCCATTTGAAATGGCCATGCCACGTGCCAGGCTGCTCTTTGGGCCAACGGGCCATTTTACTCCGCAAAACAAGGGTCATTTCCTGCGGGAGCGCACAGGAGCGGAGCTCCGGCAGTAAGGAGTGAAGTGTCAAGAATCAAGAATAGCGGTACCCCTGGATATTATAGCTGTCTTTTAAGGGGCAGTTGTTTGGAGCTCTCTCACCCCACCTAATCCAGGGGCTGGGCGGGGAGTCTGTACGCCGCTCTGAGACGTTGAGTGAAGTGTCAAGAATCAAGAATAGCGGTACCCCTGGATATTATAGCTGTCTTTTAAGGGGCAGTTGTTTGGAGCTCTCTCACCCCACCTAATCCAGGGGCTGGGCGGGGAGTCTGTACGCCGCTCTGAGACGTTGAGTGAAGTGTCAAGAATCAAGAATAGCGGTACCCCTGGATATTATAGCTGTCTTTTAAGGGGCAGTTGTTTGGAGCTCTCTCACCCCACCTAATCCAGGGGCTGGGCGGGGAGTCTGTACGCCGCTCTGAGACGTTGAGTGAAGTGTCAAGAATCAAGAATAGCGGTACCCCTGGATATTATAGCTGTCTTTTAAGGGGCAGTTGTTTGGAGCTCTCTCACCCCACCTAATCCAGGGGCTGGGCGGGGAGTCTGTACGCCGCTCTGAGACGTTGAGTGAAGTGTCAAGAATCAAGAATAGCGGTACCCCTGGATATTATAGCTGTCTTTTAAGGGGCAGTTGTTTGGAGCTCTCTCACCCCACCTAATCCAGGGGCTGGGCGGGGAGTCTGTACGCCGCTCTGAGACGTTGAGTGAAGTGTCAAGAATCAAGAATAGCGGTACCCCTGGATATTATAGCTGTCTTTTAAGGGGCAGTTGTTTGGAGCTCTCTCACCCCACCTAATCCAGGGGCTGGGCGGGGAGTCTGTACGCCGCTCTGAGACGTTGAGTGAAGTGTCAAGAATCAAGAATAGCGGTACCCCTGGATATTATAGCTGTCTTTTAAGGGGCAGTTGTTTGGAGCTCTCTCACCCCACCTAATCCAGGGGCTGGGCGGGGAGTCTGTACGCCGCTCTGAGACGTTGAGTGAAGTGTCAAGAATCAAGAATAGCGGTACCCCTGGATATTATAGCTGTCTTTTAAGGGGCAGTTGTTTGGAGCTCTCTCACCCCACCTAATCCAGGGGCTGGGCGGGGAGTCTGTACGCCGCTCTGAGACGTTGAGTGAAGTGTCAAGAATCAAGAATAGCGGTACCCCTGGATATTATAGCTGTCTTTTAAGGGGCAGTTGTTTGGAGCTCTCTCACCCCACCTAATCCAGGGGCTGGGCGGGGAGTCTGTACGCCGCTCTGAGACGTTGAGTGAAGTGTCAAGAATCAAGAATAGCGGTACCCCTGGATATTATAGCTGTCTTTTAAGGGGCAGTTGTTTGGAGCTCTCTCACCCCACCTAATCCAGGGGCTGGGCGGGGAGTCTGTACGCCGCTCTGAGACGTTGAGTGAAGTGTCAAGAATCAAGAATAGCGGTACCCCTGGATATTATAGCTGTCTTTTAAGGGGCAGTTGTTTGGAGCTCTCTCACCCCACCTAATCCAGGGGCTGGGCGGGGAGTCTGTACGCCGCTCTGAGACGTTGAGTGAAGTGTCAAGAATCAAGAATAGCGGTACCCCTGGATATTATAGCTGTCTTTTAAGGGGCAGTTGTTTGGAGCTCTCTCACCCCACCTAATCCAGGGGCTGGGCGGGGAGTCTGTACGCCGCTCTGAGACGTTGAGTGAAGTGTCAAGAATCAAGAATAGCGGTACCCCTGGATATTATAGCTGTCTTTTAAGGGGCAGTTGTTTGGAGCTCTCTCACCCCACCTAATCCAGGGGCTGGGCGGGGAGTCTGTACGCCGCTCTGAGACGTTGAGTGAAGTGTCAAGAATCAAGAATAGCGGTACCCCTGGATATTATAGCTGTCTTTTAAGGGGCAGTTGTTTGGAGCTCTCTCACCCCACCTAATCCAGGGGCTGGGCGGGGAGTCTGTACGCCGCTCTGAGACGTTGAGTGAAGTGTCAAGAATCAAGAATAGCGGTACCCCTGGATATTATAGCTGTCTTTTAAGGGGCAGTTGTTTGGAGCTCTCTCACCCCACCTAATCCAGGGGCTGGGCGGGGAGTCTGTACGCCGCTCTGAGACGTTGAGTGAAGTGTCAAGAATCAAGAATAGCGGTACCCCTGGATATTATAGCTGTCTTTTAAGGGGCAGTTGTTTGGAGCTCTCTCACCCCACCTAATCCAGGGGCTGGGCGGGGAGTCTGTACGCCGCTCTGAGACGTTGAGTGAAGTGTCAAGAATCAAGAATAGCGGTACCCCTGGATATTATAGCTGTCTTTTAAGGGGCAGTTGTTTGGAGCTCTCTCACCCCACCTAATCCAGGGGCTGGGCGGGGAGTCTGTACGCCGCTCTGAGACGTTGAGTGAAGTGTCAAGAATCAAGAATAGCGGTACCCCTGGATATTATAGCTGTCTTTTAAGGGGCAGTTGTTTGGAGCTCTCTCACCCCACCTAATCCAGGGGCTGGGCGGGGAGTCTGTACGCCGCTCTGAGACGTTGAGTGAAGTGTCAAGAATCAAGAATAGCGGTACCCCTGGATATTATAGCTGTCTTTTAAGGGGCAGTTGTTTGGAGCTCTCTCACCCCACCTAATCCAGGGGGGTCTGCGCCTGGGCGGGGAGTCTGTACGCCGCTCTGAGACGCTGAGTGAAGTGCGGTGGATAGTGCTCCTCTTTTCTTCTTCGTTGTGTTGGCTTGGTTGCCTTGGAGTCTGTCCAGCTATGGCACCCCAAAAAGGGGGTGGGAAGTCAAAAGGCAAGCAGCCCACCCCCCACCCCAAGGCTCCTCCAAAGCGGCCTGCGCCGGCTCTCGCTTTTCCCGATGAGGACGATGCGGCTCAGCAGGCCATTCTTGAGCGGCTGTTCACTCTGGAGGAGGCAACAGGTGTTTCTGCCCCAGTGCCAGTTTTGACTCATTCTAAAGCAGCTAAGAAGCAGACTAGGCAGGCATCAAAAACTCAGTTTCAAGCTTCAGTGCAAACCCGCCTTTCTCTTTTGGAGGGTTGCACGGCAAAGCCCGGTGGAGCAGGTGATGGACAGAGAACAAGCAGTGCCATGTCTTCCGGTCGGAGCGACACTGCCCAGCGCTCGGGAAGCAAGGTGGCAACTGTATCTTCTGCGGCTTCGGGCCCGTCTAGTGAGTCCATCAATACCATCCAGGCGGTGCCTGCTTGGCCTTGGGGGCCTTGGGGTCCACCGCCGGCGTCAGCTTCAACAGCCTCATCTCAGTCCCCTCCGTCACAAGCGCCCCCCTCTTCTTCTCAGTACTGGCCATGGCCTTATGGACAGTTTCCACCTCCCCCTTAGGCAGGCGTCCCAGGGTACGACAGTTCCTGGGCAATGTTCCCTCTAAGCTGTGGAGTCTTGTGAGCAAAAATTCTACTTTGTGAGCTATTGGCATTAAAGTTGTGAGCCAGCGATTTGGCCGCTGCATACGTTAGTTTGCTCTGGAGCCATCCTTCCTGCCAAATCCCTACCTTCTGGCGACGCGGCATTGCCTTTGGGTGACCACCTGTTGCCGGCCACAAGAGCAAAGATATGTAAGGGCGAGTTTGCAGATGTCTTCTCCCTCCTCTATCGGGAGCGGGAGGAGAAGGACAAGGAGGACTTGGATGAAAAGGACAGAGAGACGCTTAGGAGGCGGAAGGTGGAGAGGACCTGGGCCAGTTGGCTGCCGGGGTTCTTCGTTTGTGCTGGGGTGTTAGCCCGGGCTCAGCCTTACCGTGCTGCCTCACCTAGCCAATACACAGATAGCATTTATAAGGCACATACGGGATTATGATGAGGAATTTCACATGCGGGCTGCCATCCAGCCCATGCTGCCCTGGGACCAAGTCCGCCCTCATCTGTGGTTGCAGGTAATGGCCCAAGCGAGGCCTAACACAGGTGACCGCTCTGACAGCGGGCACTTGGTCCAGCACCTTCCTGCTGCTTCCGGTCCCCGCAGTTCAACCCCGCCTGCTGTGTCGGGAGTTTGGCTCCCAAGGGGTCTGCGGCTGCAAAGCATGCCAGTATAAACATGGGTGTCCCTTGTGCGGGGGCTCCTCCTCCTTCACCAATTGTCACGGCGAGGGCAGAGGAAGCCAGGCG